ACAAAGCAACTCGCCTCGCTGCACTTGCTCGCTATTCATAAAAGCTTTCTTAACGTGAGTTCGGCCTTGTTGGACCGCCGCGGTGTCATCTGTTGTTTTCCGCCGGGACATTGCTTGATATCAAAACGATACTGAAAAAGTAACTCCGTGAAATAGGACTTTTTCCACCATTTCACACAGTGCACGGGCATTTTCGTTCATGTTGGGTTTAGCATTAGCACTCTTTAGCGCCAGTGCAAATCTTCCTCTGGAGTTTAATGGCGGCTGCCTGGCCAACTATGAAAGCGCATTACTGCCACCAACTGGACTGGAGTGTTAAATGAAAGTTGACAGAAAAAAATATATTCTAAAAAGTTATTTTTTCCAAAGTTACGTGACAGTATATTTTATTTTTATTATAATTAATTGCTAAAATGTTTTTAAATAGATGTTTATTTACTCAATTCTACTTTGAGCTGTCTCCTTTTTAATTTATACAGAATATGATTCATAATCCGTGAGTTATATTTAGTGCTTAACTAACAAACTTTAAAAAAAGAATGCAAATGTTTATACTCTATCAGAAGGTATCACATACTTTCAACCATTTTGTTCAATTTAAACTCAAGAGTTAAGCAACTGAATACTGATAAATCATCTGTAGTTTAAGTCCTGTATTGAGATGTGGAATGGTGTCACCACCACTCTAATATAGCATGACTCTGGGTCTTTAAAGCAATCAGTGAATATTAACATTAGTTTGAATATTATTCACAAAAATACTTTATATACAATGAACCACTCTGGAACATGTTTTTTATCATTATTATTGATTAAGTTGTGCAGTTCTTTGATTAAGTTGTGTGGGAGGAATGTCAAAGTAAGATCATGTTTAACAAAGGTCTATTGTATGTATTCATGGATATTCTTCTTTTATATCATCAATTCAACCAAAACTAAGTTTTTCAGTGCTCCTAACACATGTAAAATATATTTTAATGGATAAGATAGATTATTGTTTTAATATTCTTTCTCCAAACATAGTTCTTCATGGCATACTTCTATAACTGATCAATACCTACAGACGTCTCAAAATGTGTTAAACTGTTTGGCCCATTGTACTGCAACACCAACATGTATTTACATCTCCATTTGAAGGAGTACATGTTGGAATACAGGCTTTTTTGAGCCAGTATTCCAGTATTTGTGATTAAATACTGAGAATGTTTAATCACAAAGTCCAGATTAGGAGACAATTTCAGAAGAGTCAACAACAACTTAGTATGCCATGAACATCTGCCTGTGATACTATAATGACCAAAATTTTACATGTGCAAATGATTGGAACTTTGTCATGATGACACAACTGATGCTTTATGTAAAGCTCAGTGTTTTCACGTCAGCAGAAACACTTCGGTCTGCATTCCATCACACAATTTTGGATGAGCTTGACAGACATGCATTGTTGACAATATATCATCAGATTTACCCTGAAAATTGTACTTTGATATGCACACTTAAGTGTTAAGGTTACATCCCTAAGTTGAGCTAAGTGTATTCAGTGCTGGATGGTGAATGTCACACTAGATTTGTTCCATTTGTGTGACTTTGTAACATTAGAACATTTTCAGCATTAATGCCTGTTTTATACTTAAATCTCATTATTTCTCAATAACACTGAGGGGTTTTGGCCAGATCCTGGGTCTAGTAAACAGGTGAACAGAAGGTAAAATGGGTTAGCTACAACAGGAATGAGAGTCAAAAGGCCGGTGCTCAACAGTTGATTTGCATTTGCATGGCTCTCAGCAACTTCATTTAAATATGAAAACCTCTGCTAAGCACAGGGGGGGTGATAGGGGAACACGGACACACAGCGTTTTTGACCATTCTTGGCAGTGCTCTACAATTTTCCACTCTAACAAAAACCTCTTGCTGATAGCCCTCAATCGCACGGTAGAACTAGGTGTCAATAGCTGTCAAACCCCACTTTTCGGTGTGATTGGTCCACTCTCCCGGCTTTAAATGCATAAACTATAAACTTATCTTTTAGGAATAAATTTGCTCTGCCAGTGAAACGCTCAGAGCAAAAGAGACACTTTCAATCCCTATTCATATGGATCATATCCTAAATATATGCATATTTTTTTGAGATACCTCGTCTGTGCCAACCCAATGAAGGCATTAGCATACTAGCTGTGACCCATTTTGATCTGTTTTGAACCAGAGAAGGTAAAGGTAATTTTATTTATATAGCACATTTTCAGCAACAAGGCAAAACAAAGTGCTTTACGGGACTTAAAAGGAAATACAAACAAAATAACAAACCAAAGGAAAGGGCAAAAGAAGAAAAATAATCTAATAATGTTTATCCAAAGTACAAAAACTAGATACCCTTATTCAGGGTTCGTGGATAAGTTTAAGTAAGTATCCTCTGATCTAATTACTTATTTGGTTTGGAAGAATAGGAGTCTAAAAAGTAGTTGCTAAGGTAGTTTTTCTGGATTCCAAGTTCTAATCCCTGTTCTGGGTTGCTAAATAAGTGTAAGTAAGTATTCTCTGGACTTTCTAAGTGTGCTCTAAATTTGTAAAAGTAATGAGTACTCTACAGTTTCTAAGTAACAATAAAAACTAAATGTTCCTGTACTGGAAGATTTTTTTTCTGGATTCTAAGTTTGTTCTAATTCCTTTTCTGTGTTGCAATAATAGGAGTCTCTCTGCATCTAAATAGTGAGCACTCTAAAGTTTCTAAAAAAAAATAAGCTAAAGAGTGACTAATGAACTAGAGCAGGGGTGCCCAAAGTCGGTCCTCAAGGGCTAGTGTTCTGTCATACCGGTCAATCCAGCATACCTTATGGTAATGCGCATGCGCACTTCGTTGTTACGTCACATACTGCTTACTCAGCAGATTTCTTAGCAATCCATACCTGTGTGTTATGTTTCTCAGATGTTTATGGTAAATTTTATTAAGTTGCTATGTTAATCAAAGAGATTAACATTGCTGTTTCCAATATCGTTACCATACTGTAAACAAGGCATTAGTCTTGTTTAGCGTCACTATTACTACAAATACTCTTTGACTACAAATTTGGTCTGGATATTTTGTCCCTATAGCTAATCTACATTTTTAATATTTTAGTACTTCTTTAAAAAACTGTACAGAATATGTCCTAAAAAAAGCATGAATAACGCTGGATGCTGACTGAAGCTGTTGGGCAACAAGCAGAACAACACCTCTTTCTGAACACTGCGTGGAAACAACTAGATTTTTCTTATTTTAATTTTTTTATTTACCGTAAATTTCCGAGAAATAAAACACACAAAATGAAAATTCTACAGGTATGACGGATTTATAAGAAACGTAACATTGATGTGCGCATGCGCATTACCACAAGGTATGCTGGATTGACGAGGTATGACAGAACACCGGCATCCTGCATGATTTACTTCTCTCTCTGGTGGTAGTAACAACCTTTTCAGCATGTCAGTATTCTTCTTCATCCTCTAATGAGCCATCATTTGATCCAGGGAGAGAACTAAAACACGCAGGATGTCAGCCCTCAAGGACCGACTTTGGGCACCACTGAACTAGAGTCTTTGGATTACAAATGTGTTCTAATTCCTTTTCTGGGTTAAAAGTGAGTACTCCACATTTTCTAACAAAATAAAATAAAAAAGAGGAAAGGACACATTAGAGCACATGAGGACCATCCCAAGACATAAGCAAACTAAGCAGCCGCTTAGAGCCACCAAGGGGCCCCCTCCGTAGAGCTGATTTATTTTTTATTTTTTTTCAGTAACAATTTCTATGTCATAACAAAAACACTTATGCTTATGTGTTTTTACAATAATATATTTGACAATGTATGTAGAAATCATTATTTTATGGACAAAAATGAAAAAAATAAAGTGCTCTTAGGTGCCCCCTGGTGGCCGTGGTAGGTCACGCAAGCTTCGCCAGCATCATGAGCTGCCGTGCACTGTGCAGAGCGCATCCAAATGTCCAAAGCTCCAAAGCTCCGGTAGAAGATAAGTTAGCAAAACAATGTCTCAAAAAAGGACTTATCCTTCAGGGAGAAAGAAAAGGGGAAGAATAGAAAAAAAGCCAAGATAAAGGTTTGTCTTAATATGTCTTTGTAATGTAATGTTTATAACAAAGATTTGTGAAGCTGCTAATAGAAAATTAGCTGTATAGCGATCTTAAACGGGTTCAGTTCAACAGCCAAACATTTATGCTAGCGTCTTTGTGTGAAGCTCAGTTTTAACTTGAAATAAGTTGATTCTCCTGCTTGGCTCTGTATATTTCTGAGGTAGTTTTGGCTTCAAAACGGCGTGTTTGATAACATTTGATAACAATAATTAAAACTTCTCAATGTTTCATATTGTCTAGCAAAATTTTTCCCATCAGGATCTGGCAGCAGATCCTGCATTGATATATTAATGCAGCAGCTACATGGACTGCTGCATTAATATATCAATGAGCTGCTCTAAGCTGTAGTTGGTTATATGTTGTTTGCTGCCAATCATTTATGTGGCTAGAACAATATTTTTCCATCAACTTCTAAGTCAGTGGTTCTTAGCCTTTTTTGAGGTACCGAACCCACCAGTTTTATATGCGCATTCACTGAACCCTTCTGTAGTNGATTCGAGTTGTCTTGGCCTGGCCTTGTCTTTATTGCAGCCTGTGGGGTTTTCCTTGACTGGGAATGAGAACACAACCTGTTGAATGTGACAGGTAGCCAATCAGAAACATGGTGACGCAAGAACAGAGGGGAATCCCAAACAGCTGACATATCCTCAACTGAGAGTCCAGTGGATATCGGAGATGATATGTGGAAATGTTTATTATTATATGTAAAGGTTATTATTATGTTTATTCAGTTAAAAATGTTAACTATGAAAAAACACAGTCACCTCCAAATCATAGTGCAGCAAATAGAGCGGCTGCTCCCGCCGTCTTTTATCCAAAGCCTTTTATTTTTGTTAAGTCTTTTATCGCTTAAAATGAGTCCACAAACTATCACTATTGCTTCCACAGGACGAAAAGTGGGATTTTTAACCCTGTATTCTGACGCGAATGCAGCTCGTGAGCGACAGATATCGACAGCAATCGACAGTTTTGCATTTTCACTCACGGGAGTCGAATTCTGTCGATTGCGGAATCCCAGGAGGGGGGAGTGTAGGTGCGCGGGAGCGGGCGGGCGGCTGGCCAGTAATGTTAATAGTAAATAATAAAGACTTTGTGGTATTCTGATTTAGTAATTATATTGGTTGTGTTACCACCACAACGCCACTAGAGGCAGTAGCAGGCCCGAAAAGATGCGACTAAGGAGCAGATTTAGAAGTACACCGAAAGCTACAGAATTTGCTAAAAACTGTGAGCTGCCGTGAAGTAAATAAAAGAGAGAAGTTCAAATACATTCTGAGAGTGAAATTCCTTCCTGAAGGTGAAAATATATCACAGATATCAAAAGAAAATAAAAACAGAAGTATAGGACATAGCGCCCCCTTCACTTTCGGATTGCAATGGCCCCATTACCAAACAAGGAAAGAGACTGACAGTGGTCTGTCCCCGCCCCTTTCTGTTTGCTGCAGCGAGGTCCTTCTAGGCGGGAGGTATTGACCATAGACATAATATAAGGATGAGATTATACATGAGATTATTATGAGGATAAGATTATAGCATAATCTTATATTATGTCTATGGTATTGACGACTCTACTTAGCATACGAATAGCCTAGCATATGCAAAGGCGCTTCAGCAGACCCACGTGGATCCTCAGTCATTGGATGAAAAACAATGACATCACAGTTCATCATTGACATGTGATTGGTTGGTTGATGTGTGCCCATTGGACAGTACGTAAGTCTTTATAAATAAACCCCACCCCAATCATTATTTGTAACGCTGTATTTAAAAAAATCTATATAAAAAATAAATGCTGTATTAAAATATATTCATTTGATATTGCTTATATACAACATGTTCATATATGAGGAACATAAATGAGGAACATAATTTTTTTTTCTTTATTTCATTTTATTTTTTTTTACTGTTTGCACACAAAATAAGACATAAATGCTTGTCCATTTCTGGACTATCTGGCAGTGTTTTTTTGTCCAAACATGATCCAACATTATGCTGCGTACAGGACAGGCCCAACATCTCTCCTGTAGCGTAGGCCCGACGTCACTGAGCTCCTGGTTGGGGGAACTTGGGGTCTCAACCTCACCACAGACCATCCTGACATCCCCTCATAGCTGCCATCCTCCCAGAATGCCACCTCCTCTGCTGCCAGTACTCTCTGCCTTCCTCCATCAGCTGTTAATACAGAACAGACAATCATTATGAGCTACAGGCATCTTTTTGTCATTATGAAACTACAGTGAAATTGTTTGGCAACTTCCAGCTTAGTATGCGCACATAAGACATTAAAACAAAACAAAACAACAAAAAATATATATATATTATATATATTAATAAATTCTTACAAAAAATAAAAACTTTAATGAAAAAGAGAAAATACTTGGAAACAATTGGAAGAAAAAAGAATTAAAAGCAGTTGGTAATAAATAGTAAAACATAATTCAACAAACTTTGAGGCAGATAATTTGCCTTGATGGATTTTAATAAATCACGGTACTTTAACCATTCAAGGATTTGTGACATCTCTAGATCTTACCTGCTTCTTTCTTGACCAACATCTGGATGACTGGCAGTAGGTCCTTGATACAGCTGAAAAACATTGTGTGCATAGTCAATACATAGCATAATTACATTATGTACATAAACAATATTGAAGCATAAAATATCATCAACATTCTAAAATAGTAGATACTCACACACAGTTGCACCTCTGTCCTCGTCATGGACATCAGAACGTTCCTGAAGATTCTGATTGACACAAATGTGACTCCCATTCTGTGGAGTGTCTGTGGAAATAAATGTAAAAGTTAAAAAAATATTGTAGCAAATATATCGCTTCCTCAAAAATACATAAGTAAATAAGTTAAAATTATTCTTAACCAGCCATTGTACAATCGGGAATCAACGCAGTGATTGTACATACCGGCTTCATGGGTCCGTCCTGATATCCGTCCTCTGTCCACCATGTTTTCGATCTCTACTGCTTACCACACTCTGCCTTGCTGTACTGCGTTATAACAAAATAAATAAAATAACCGGAAGATCAGTTTTCCTTACAAATATGCGAGTGTTCACTATTGACAAAATGTGAAATTATAACTTACTGAATTTCTCTTCGTGGACTCCCTAAGAGCGCCTCGGCACCGTGGTCTGAGGCCTGGCTGTTAAGGCTTAGCCATTTTTCAGGTCTGAAAAAAAAATAAAAGAAGATGCGAGTATTTTAAAGAGTTCAGAACATCACATGTAATAAAAAAAAATAAACTACAGCACGAAGTCTCACCCTACACTTGTTTTGGCATTATGAAAACGACAGACCGCTTTCTGTAAGAAACAAAGCAACTGGCCTCGCTGCATGTGCTCGCTATTCATAAAAGCTTTCTTACCGTGAGTTCGGCCTTGTTGGACCGCCGCGGTGTCATCTGTTGTTTTCAGCCGGGATATTGCTTAATATCAAAACGATACTGAAAACGTAACTCCATGAAATAGTACTTTTTCCACCATTTCACACAACGCACGGGCATTTTCGTTCATGTTGGGTTTAGCATTAGCACTCGTTAGCGCCGGTGCAAATCTTCCTCTGGAGTTTAATGGCGGTTGCTTGACTAACTATGAAAGCGCATTACTGCCACCAACTGGACTGGAGTGTTAAATGAAAGTTGACAGAAAAAATACATTCTAAAAAGTTATTTTTTCAAAAGTTACGTGACAGTATATTTTATTTTATTATTATTAAGTTCTAAAATGTTTGTAAATGTGTAGATGTTTATTTACTCAATTCTACTTTGAGCTGTGTCCTTTTTAGTTTATACAGAATATAATGATTCATCATCTGTGAGTTATATTTAGTGCTTAACTAACAAAACTTTAAAAAAAGAATACAAATGTTTATACCCTATCAGAAGGTATCGCATACTTTCAACCATTTTGTTCTTCAATTTAAACTCGAGAGTTAAGCAACTGAATACTGATGAATCATCTGTAGTTTAAGTCCTGTATTGTGATGTGGAATGGTGTCACTACCACTCCAATATAGTATGACTCTGGGTCCAATATAACGTGACTCTGGGTCTTTGAAGCTATCAGTGAACATTAACATTAGTTTGAATATTATTCACAAAAATACTTTATGTACAACGAACCTCTCTGGAACATGTTTTTATTATTATTATTATTGGTTAAGTTGTGAGAGGAATATCAAAGAAAGATCACGTTTAACAAAAGTCTATTGTATGTATTCATGCATATTCTTCTTTTATATCATCAGTTCAACCAAAACTAAGTTTTTCAGTGCTCCTAACATACATGTAATATATATTTTAATGGATAAGATAGATTATTGTTTTAATATTAATATTCTAACCCTTCTCCAAACATACTTCTTCATGGCATACTTCTATAACTGAACAATACCTACAGACGTCTCAAAATGTGTTAAACTGTTTGGCCCATTGCACTGCAACACCAACTTGTATTCACATCTCCATTTGAAGGAGTACATGTTGGAATACAGGCTTTTTCGAGCCAGTATTCCAGTATTTGTGGTTAAATACTGAGAATGTTTAATCACAAAGTCCAGATTAGGAGACAATTTCAGAAGAGTCAACAACAACTTAGTATGCCATGAACATCTGCCTGTGATACTATAATGACCAAAATTTTACATGTGCAAATGACTGGAACTTTGTCATGATGACACAACTGATGCTTTATGTAAAGCTCAGCGTTTTCACGCTGGCAGAAACACTTCTCTTGGAAATGTGTACAGCGGTGGCTCTGTCTGCATTCCATCACACAATCTTGGATGAGCTTGACAGACATGCAATGTTGACAATATATCATCAGATTTACCCTGAAAATTGTACTTTGATATGCACACTTAAGTGTTAAGGTTACATCCCTAAGTTGAGCTAAGTGTGTTCAGTGCTGGATGGTGAATGTCACACTAAATTTGTTCCATTTGTGTGACTTTGTAACATTAGAACATTTTCAGCATTAATGCCTGTTTTATACTTAAATCTCATTATTTCTCAATTAATAACACTGAGGGGTTTTGGCCAGATCCTGGGTCTAGTAAACAGGTGAACAGAAGGTAAAATGGTTTAGCTACAACAGGAATGAGAGTCAAAAGGCTGGTGCTCAACAGTTAATTTGCATTTGCATGGCTCTCAGCAACTTCATTTAAATACGAAAACCTCTGCTAGGCACAAGGGGAGTGGGGTAATAGGGGAACACGGACACACAGCGTTTTTGACCATTCTTGGCAGTTCTCTACAATTTTCCACTATGACAAAAACCTCTTGCCGATAGCCCTCAATCTCCATGCGCACGGCATGGAGATTGAAGAGTTTGAAACGCAAGGAGGGGCTGTGCAAGTGAACCTAGCCCAGAGTGTGGGAGCCAAGAACAGATAGAAAAACATAAAGTTATGGCTTTATTTCTCATTGTCTTCAATGTAGAGTCTTTAAAACTACAAAATAAAATCTGAATATTTTTCTATATAAACCCTCATGCTTTAAGTAATTATGTTTAAATTATGATGCTCCCCAGATATTCATTTCTATCTACTTATTTGTCAATAGCTGTCAAAAAACTTTTCGTACTGTGTTCTACATTTTCATCCGTGTTTGTTTATTCTACATTCCCGTATGGTATGTTGGGGGTTTTACTGGATTTTCTTCTGAAATCGGGATGTTCATGACTGGAATCGGTTCGTGTGTTGTGTTGCTCCTGCCGTGTGGCTGGACACACAAACCGATCGAACCTGTTGTACTTTTATCAGCTCTGTGGTCACAGAGGTTTGGAGAATCGGCTGACAATTCTTAAATCTTGCCGTCTAAACCAGACTTAAGACTCACAAGCTCTACTCATCTCCTCTCGTCTCTACCGCTGCCCTAATGCTCTCTGACTCTGGTCGCTATGGTAACGTTTACATATCCCTTCAAAATAAGATACAGATGCGCCACAAAAACGAGCATTTTACTTTCTTGAAAATTTTAACTCACGATAATGACTAACGGGAGCCCTGAGCTTGTTTCTCTGCAACGAGACGGTCCCATCTGGGAGTGATGGGAGACAATAACACCCGAAGTGTTGCTTATATCCACAGCCTGCTTGGTCTCTACTTGGCTAAGCAGTTTGAAGCTTCATTGCCTCATTAGCAGCCGGTCGCCACATGTTACGCAGAGCGGCTTGTAATGTTTGACTCACCTACCGGTCCGGGATAAATCCATCCTCCTGTCTCTTCTTTGAGCCTTTTCCCCTTTGCAAAGAAACTTTCCAAAGACATCTGATCTGTTTCTTACTCATTTTGCTGCTTGTGGACTCAATGTTGGAGCTCAAGACATAACCCAGAGAATCCGGTTCAGACTCAAATAATACATAAAACGGAAATATTTAATTGATTCTTGCATGGCCCGGTACCAATTGGTCAACAGACCGGTACCGGTCTGCAGGCCAGGGGTTGGGGACCACTGCATTAGATGATTAACGGAAGTGTAGCTTTACGAACAGACCGGAAAATTGATTTCATATCATCCCGGTCGCAACAAATGGGTGGCGGTGCTCATCGTGGCGGCACGTAGTTGGTAGATGACTTTCTGTGTGTCACGAAGGAAAGAGTCAAATCCCATCGCTGGAGTATTGACATTATTTGATAAGCGTATTTGTGAGTGTGCCTCTGTTATTAAATTTAAATATAATTTCAGATTTTTGTATTACTTTTTATTCAGGTTAACTTCGAAAGTGAACTATTATTGTTATAGGTTGATTTTCTAAACTACAGAAAACTTATTGTTAGGGAAGCTCAAATGTGAAAAATAGACTTAAGCTTTTTTTGTTAAAGGTAGCAAACATCTCATTCATATTTAGCTCTTTAACTTTAAGTTAATTAGAAGAGTTTGAAACACAAGGAGGGGCAGTGCAAGTGAACCCAGCCCAGAGTGTGGGAGCCAAGAACAGATAGAAAAACATAAAGTTATGGCTTTATTTCTCATTGTCTTCAACATAGAGTCTTTAAAACTACAAAATAAAATCTGAATATTTTTCTATATAAACCCTCATGCTTTAAGTAACTATGTTTAAATTATGATGCTCCCCAGATATTCATTTCTATCAACTTATTTGTTCTTAGTCACCCAGGATATGCCAAAACTAAAAATGGCTTAAAAATAAAGCAACTTAGCAACTTATAATTTACATAGGCCATAACTTGTATTGGGAGCCAATTCAATAAATCAATGTTTATGGTGAATTTTATTAAGAGGAGTTACTCATTAAAGCTTTTATATTTTGTATACACCTTTAAATTTTTGTAAAGGTGTAGTAGAGATTAGATCAGTCAGACTGAACAAAACTCGTATAGAAGCAATATTTGAATTTTAGTATTACTTCTCTGCAGGCTGCAGGGGCGGATCTACTGGGGTGGCCTGGGGTGGCAGTTGCCACCCCAAACGAGAGCCTTACCACCCCTGTTGCCACCCCAGCTAGCGACAATGAATTCAATAAATAGTTATGGCATGTCGGACGTTAAGCGCCGACTTGCCATAACTTTTTTGAAACTCTTTTTTCCGACAACATTGAATGCAACACAATGTAACCTGACACCCACTGCTAAGTAGCGGGAAGNAAAGAACAGTTCTCACCCACTGAGACTCGTTCTTGCCATAGAGCTGTTCAAAAGAACTGAATTGCTCGTGAACGGCATCAATGCTCTCAGCGGCTCTGACGTGTAAGTAGTCCTTGTTTTCTTTCCACCTGCATCTTCAGTTTTTCTTTAGAGTGACCAGGTTTTAAGCCACTTATCCTTTATTATTCTGCAACACAATTCTTTGGTACGCTAGTTGTACGCGTCGCACTTTGAACTCACGTCACGGCAAATAAACGGTTGTTTACAGGCAGGACCAGCAGGGGGCGCCCAAGGAACAAAAGTGCTCTGAGAACCACAGTATGTGAAAGACTGCTCTACTAGTAGTACACAAGTCAGTGGTCTCTGCTGTTATTTTTTTTAACCACATGGAATCAACCAATCGATATCAGTATGTGTTCCCATCTAGAAAAATTTTAACCACTTCTATAGTTGCTATGGTTGCCACCATTTTCTGTTTAGACACAGCAAACGTAGGGAGATAGGTTAAGCAAGATCTAAAAACTCCCTATTCGCAACTAAACTAATCTTTGCAAAGCTACCAGCAGGCAATTTTACGAAAGAACCTGGGAAATTTTCAGGAACTGTGTTTCTTCCACAATTAAATATTGCTCTTTTCCATTCTGTCAAGCTTTAGTAGCACGCAGGAGTGAAAACAAATACCTGCTGGTCCACTCCAACAGCATCAAGCCCGTCATACATCAGTTCGACCCAGCCGTCCTTGGAGTACATGACAAACACTGATATCAGAGCCTGAAAGAGATGCACAATGCGAAGCAACAAACATATTTCGTCAAAGGCCATAATCAAAAATCATCAAGCAAATGTAATTCGAATATATTGGTTAATGTTCACTTACTACTTAATCAAGGGCAACTCTAAACAGGTGGATTTTTAGCCTTGATTTAAAGGAGCTCACTGTTTCAGACGTTTTGCAGTTTTCTGGAAGTTTGTTCCAAATTATAGGAACATAAAAGCTGAATGCTGCTTCTCCATGTTTGGTTCTTATTCTGGGGATGCAGAGTGTATTTGAACCAGAAGGCTGCAATAACAGGTCTTTAATGTATTTTGGTGCCAAGTCATTCAGTGGTTTATGAACAAACAGAAGTCTGTTCTCTGAGCTGGCAGAAGGACTTCAGAACTGGGGTGATGTGCTCTACACCTTCGGAAGAATGCCACCAGAAGTCAAATGTGCAGTTTGCCAAGAGTCTTGTAGGAGACTCAGCAAACATGTGGAAGCTCAGATGAGATCAAAACTAAACTTTTTCAAATCTATATGCGTACACTATTTTGTCACAATGAAATGTAGCAGTAGCATTGTTCTGAAGCAGGGGTGTCCAAAGTCGGTCCTCGAGGGCCGGCATCCTGCACATTTTTGTCCCTCCCTGGTGGGAGTAACAACCTTTTCAGCTCGTCAATGTTCCTCTTAGGCCTCTAATGAGCCATCATTTGATCCAGGTGCGATAAACCAGGAAGAGAATTAAAACATGCAGGATGCCAGCCCTCCAGGACCCAGTTTGGGCACCCCTGTTCTAAAGGGATGTTTTACTTCAGCAAGAAAAAGGAAGATTATCAGAGTTATTAGAAAGATAAATTGTGTTAAAAAAGGGGAAGGGGTAATCCAACAAGAAAATTGCCTTGAACAATCATGGAACAAATTTGGATAATAACTCCTCTACGTAAATGAAAATGTATTTTCACAAAAGCTACTCTCTTTTGCTCAAAGTTAATAATTATTCACTGCTTTGTGTTGATCTGTCACATCAAAAAAGGTTGAAGTATGTGATTACTACAGGAGAAAGGTTTGCGAATCAGAGCTGGCTTTAATTTGAAAATGTTAAGACAAGAAAAAAGGTAGAGAAGACATGATTACTGGAGGTTACTCTTATGTCATAGAGCATAATCTTCATATTTCGGGCCACATGAAGATTATGAATGTCCTCAGAGGGTCTCTTGTGAGAGAATGTATTGATACAACGACCCATTAAACTGTTTGATGAAGCCTGAAGATGAAATTATATTTATCATCTTTTAACACTTATGTAATCTGGCACTAAACAAATCAAGTCTGATATGATTTGACTGATAAAATAATATATAATCACACAGCTGCTATCATAATGTTTTGTTTCTGCATTATTTGAGAGTTTAGACTTGATAGGACCACAGAAATAACTATGGAGGGCCTGATTCGGACCATGAGGTTTGTGGTCCGAATCAGGTTTGGCACACGTTGTAGAGCTCCCAGTTCTGATTTGACAAACTGGAACTTCTTTCTTTTTTTTTCTTTAGGTTGCATTACAAGTAGCTTAAACTATTGGTCTAAAAATGAAACCTTCATTGAACAAATCACATGATCAGCTGTTAAATAAAGCTAAAGGAAAGAAAACAACACAGTAAACAATTCCTACCGAAACCAGGTTGTCAAAGTTGTACTCCTTAAGCAACCATTCGTAATTGGACGAGAGACAGTCCGACTTGTTGACGATCATCGATACATTGGAACCATGGCAGTAAAAGAACTTTCCCTTGAACAGCTGCAGTTGGAGTGAAAGACAAAAATATAGTGTTTAGTTTACTACCTCAAATCATGCAGGCTTTTACACACAAAAAAAGAAAGCACTCAGTGGCCTATTACTGAACCTTTTGATGCTCTGTCACTTTACTACAAAAAATGTAAAGTATTCACTGAGTAATAATAGTGATAGACCAACAAAAAGTAGGGAATTGTTATAGATGTGAAAGGAAAATCAGTGGCACCCAATGAAAATTGTCCAAAATGGCCAGTGAAAATATTAAACTTTTGCCTGACAGAAAAGTCCCACGAGAGTATATAGTTGGGTCACATCAAAATGTAAGACCTATGATTAACATATTTAAAGCTAATTACATTATTTTATGAAATTAATATATTTTAAGGCCTTAATATTAGACACAAAAATTCAATACTTTTTAAGAGTTTTAAAAGATGGGCATCCTGTTCTAGGTCCTGGACACTTGCAACAGAGATGTTTCCTTTTTTTTTTTTTGCCAAAAAGTGTACCGAGAAAAAAAAAACTCCTAGTCATTTGTAGATGACTATAGGACATCTCCTTCTATGTTCTCCGTATGGTTACTGTGGGGGAGGAGGGCCTGTACAGTCCTTTATAGACCATTTGAAAAGGTTTCTGGTACATCTTTGATTTGTTAACTTTCATTGAAAGTGTTAATAAAAGTTAAAAATGTTGCGTGTGCTCTCCAACCAACCTGCACTCCAAGGATACCGTAAAAGAAAAAGAAAATGCCGCAAATGATAATGATGTTTCCCATGGGCTTAACGGAAGCTAACAGCGCTTCCACAGCCAGTCTCAGTTGGGGGGTCCGTTCAATCATCCTAGATCACACAAACACAACATATAAGCATCTGTCGGTCGGTCGGCGCATGCTTCTAGAGACCCATCAAAACGGCAGTCTTCATAAACCAAACCAAATGAAGGATGCACCTGAGGGGACGGAGCGCACGTAGCAGACGCAGTATTTTAAGGATAGCCAGAGGTCTGGAGGATCCCTCCTCCGTCCCCAGCAGGATGGCGATGTCTATTACAGACATGACTACCAGAAAGCCGTCCAAGTTGTTCCAGGGACTGTGGCAATAGGTGGTTTTCCCAATGATCAGACCTTGTGCTACCATCTGATTTAAAAAAAATAATAAAAGAAACATCTGATACGCTTGAAATACAAATTGTTTGTTTAAAATCTCAGAATTGCTAAAAAGCCAAACTGACCTTCAGTAGCATTTCTATGAGAAAGATGGCGGAAAAGGCGTCATTGGCTTTATCCAAGTAAAATCGTTCCTGAAAAACACGTGCGCTTCACATGATATAACTTCTACAGCACAGCTAATTTCTCTCAGTGTCTTGTCAGTGGGTTGGGTGTGTTGGCGCATCTCTCACACACCACTGTGTGACAAGGCTGCAGAACGTGTAGCTCGCCTCCCGTTATGGGGATGCATTTGCCTGTGAATGTGTGTGTGAAAAGTGGGCTGGGGGAGATTTTCTGTGTGTGAAGTGTCTCTCACATTGCTATCAGGCGGGATAGTAGGCCTCTCAAAAGCAATAGTAATGCAGTTCAGCAAGATGACGAGCTGAATCCCTGTGTTGAAATGCCTGTGGGACACCAGTTTGTCGCAAAATATACGCCACCTGCGAACGCACAGATACAGTTATTAAACAGATGATTATATTAAAGAAGATGATGATTTTTTTCTGAACATACAAATCATGTTACTTTCTTCCTTTCTTCAGGTTGTGAGAGATATAGATACCAATTTAGTTGTTAAGAATTTGATAGTCTCATACAGTGGTTCTTAACCTTTTTTGAGGTACCGAACCCACCAGTTTCATATGTGCATTCACTGAACCCTTCTGTAGTGATAAATAAAATATAATTTTTTTCCCCCCAAATTCAATTCACCCCATGATCACTAAGTCTTCTTAAAAGGTAGAGTCTCTGAGAACAGTTCTTCAAAATATAGTCAGTATTTTCAGCAAAGTTGAGCTGACTGTCCAGGAACGACCCAAATCTGCCACAGTTTCAACAGGTTGGCCATCGAGAGAAACTGGAACCACTTTAATGTCTTGTTTAGATCATTTAATTAGCTCTACATTCTTAAGAAAATGAAAAATTAATAATAAATAATAAAGACTTTGCAGTATTCTGATTTAGTAATGTAATTATATTAGTTGTGTTACCACCCCCATGCTTTTAGCGGCAGCAGCAACCCCGAAAAGATGCGACTAAGGAGCAGGTTTAGAAATACACCGAAAGCTACAGAATTTGGTAAAAACGGTGAGTTTTGCTGAAGTAATTAAAGACACAAGTTCAAATCCATGCTGAGAGTGAAACTCCTTCAATCAGTGCTCCTCCCCAGCGCTGATTGGCTAAGCAATGTAACAAGATCCTCTGCAACAAGTGATGGCAAAGCGGGGCGTCATCACGACTTTATGTAAGTGTGTCTTTACCTCCGCGGCAGAGGCTCCGTCGAACCCCTGAGACCGACTCATCGAACCCCAGGGGCTCGATTGAACCCCAGGTTAAGAACCACTGGTCTAAGCAATAATTGAAATTGCAACATTAAATCAAACTAAATCTAATTTATTGACCTCAATCAGCTTTACACATCTTTACACGCACCGACAGTGGATTTCTGTTTCTTAGCGTGTGTGTGTGTGTGTGTGTGTGTGACTCGCCTATTCTGTGGAGAAAATACATAGAAGGACCAATCTTCATGCTCTTTGAACCAGCGCTTCCAGCCTAGAGCTCGCTATGGGGTAAATCAGTCACAAGTCAGTTATCCCTCCTTTCTAACAGGATGAATGAAATAATTTGAAAGTTTTCAAGCAGTTTTACCGCTTGAACTTGACTGAGGCTGTGCTTAATGGCTACAGGCACAGCGTCCAGGAACTCATGAGTGTATTTAAAGTGTAACTAACCTGTGACAGCATAAGCCAACGGCTGACATCATTTGAAAAATTTCAGCAAAGAGGGTGGAATCAAAACACAGAGGAGGGTGGCGAAGTGTGGGAATGAGCTGAGGGTTAGGAGAATGCAATGCAACTCGGTACCAAGTAAATATGGGCCAGTATTTATTTTTTTTTCCAAGTGTGATATATCACCAAGCTTCTGACCTTTCGGTGTTTTAGTTGTTTTTCCTCCAAGTCATCTTGCTAAAATCTAAGACAGATTTTTAAAAAGGTTATTGACATCTACAAATTACTTTAATGCCATATTGATTTACGTGCAGGTTTTCCAAAAATAAAGTGCAAAAACATTTATTTGAGAGCAAATCAAAACAAACTCTGATTTGAGGCAGATTTGAGAAACTTAAACACAAAAACAAAATACAATTTTAAGAGGAAATCTGAAATTAAAGTACGGATCTTATCACTCTAGTATCGATCCGATATCGATACAGGCTTGTTATCAATATCACAAGTATTTTGGATCAATCCGCTCGCCCCTGCTGGTGAGGTATGCAGGGCTGTGGTCAGAACAAAAGAAGCATTGTTGCTTACATATAAAATTTGTCGATTTGTCGACTCCTCTAGAGATTAAAAAAAAAAAAAAAGACATCTTGTAATTTTTTCTATATTGTTAGAGATTTTTATGGTGACAACACTCTGCAGCACCACTGCAACCCTGTTATGCAAGCACCCAGAGCTGCAGTGAGCCCCTCTTGCTTTCTGTCCTACAGTGAGGATATGTTGTGTCACGCATGCAGGTCCCTGCTGTAGGGAATAAAACTGCAGAGATAGTAGGTCTGCTATGCTAGTTTGACTTTCACAAACGTAACACGTAGATGTGCTGCAGAATTCGTTGTGGTTCAGTTCAGTTTAAAAAAAACAAAAAAAAACAAGGTGACCCACACACCAACTCTCTGACAGCTCATCAGTAGGAGGTGTTTAAATGTATTTATCAACCACCTCTGTGCTCAGACGATGACTTAATAATAATTGTAAAATAAACATCAAGCATGAAAACATAAGAATGTAATGGACTGAATCCATGGACAGAATGGACAGATGCACGAAACGCTTTTGGTGTGAACGCACCATCAAGCATCTGCAGTCAAACTTGAAGTGTCTGACGCATTTTTAACGTGCGTTAATGCGTTTGGTGCAGACCCACCATTAGTAACCTATTTAGACAGTTCATGACAAAAAAAGTTGATTTGGGGGTTAGTTACACTTTAAACTCTGCGTCCTTGTTTTAACAGATTGACATTTCAGTTTATTAATTTTTTTATCAGGTGTTGAAATTAAGCAACTGGCTTAATTAGCAACAGGCAATTGCTTAGTTGGCTATTAAGCAACTGGTTAGGCACTGGCTCAGTGGTCTTTTCCCATGTCTACAACACACAGGCTGTAAAAACGATTTCAAACTGCGTGCCAACATCCTTCCACTTTAGAATTATTTGGTGGTATTTCACTCAAAATCTCAAGAAAACATTTTAACGTTTGGGGCTGACGAACTGATTGACAGTAGGGATGTCCAAAGTCAGTCTTCAGTCCTGCATGTTTTTAGATGTGCTCCTGTTTCAACACAGCTCATTCAAATGGCTTTATTCGCTACTCAGCATGTTATGAAGACCTCCAGAAAGACGCCGGGAAACGTGTGAAACATGCAGGATATCGGCCCCAAATGACTTTGGACACCACTGGTTTGAGGAGTATGAATACTTTTACAAACCTCTGTATTGGTTTAAATACAAGGTACATAAAAAATGACTACAAATGTTTAAAAAAATTGAATGGTATTCAATATCCTTTTCTAAAAATTAAGTAGCTTCCCCAGCTTTCACATGAAAAATAATTTAAAAATAAAACTAATCTCAAGATTATCCTCTTGCTAAAGCGAGTCTTTCACACAGACTCACCAGTTCCTGGTCAGTCGGGACAGCTCTGGCTTCTTCCACTTGAAGCTGCTGCTCCTGAGCAGAGCTGGACTCAGCGTTTAGTTGGTCTTGTTCGGAAACTATAGTGGCCTGACAAAAAATAAATAAAATAAATGTTTGAAATATTTATGAATGAGAAATGAGGTCTGTTTGATGAGAACTCACGACATGTACAGAGCATTACGAGAAGTTTCAACTATCTAATGTTTTCTCTCTACTTTACAGTCATGTACTATTCTGAGTTAATCTATGTCCATAAAATCTTCGGAAAATCTAGGATTTTCCTAAGATCTTATGGGGCAGGACTTGAGCAGATCAAAGCATAGTCATGGAGCTGGGTGATAAATCCATTTCATTTTCATTCAAATTTTGGATTTTTGATTTGTTTTTGGAAAATCTGCATCTTTTTTGCAATTGACTTCTCTGTTTCCATAGTTCAGAGTGATGCCGTTATGCCCAATGCCGACCATCTACCATCTTGACAAGCGTGTTATGAGAAAATAACAAAAAATTCAAATAAGGAATGTTGAGCATTTTATAAAGTTATACTTTGGTACAAGTTTTACAGATGTTACTTAGAAATACTTAATCAGCATCAAATTATTATCAGTAGCAGTAGTATTTGAAATGATTGTGTTTATTTCAAAGAAATAACAACAAGGACTAAAGATAGTTATGTCATATTTTGATAACTGTATCAAAGTTTATTTCTCAAAGTTCTTGGTTTCTGGTAAAACTGAACCTGCATTTAGCTAATATCATAACTATATTCACGTAAATGAACAGAAAGCCCTAGCACTCCATCATATTACTTACAGCAGGGGATGACTAAAATAAATAATGAAAAGAAGTTAAGGACTTACGCGACGGTCAATGGTTGAAGGAATTCCTGAAAGTGTTGCGTGATCTTCGGGCTTTTAGATAAAAGAACAGCAACAACAACAACAATAAAAAAGACAATGCATTTTTGTTACTGTAGTCGCTCTGTGAAAATAGATGGGGGTGCGGATAGCAGATTCTGATTCTGACCTGGTTCTGGAAGTTCTCAACAACAATCCCCACCAAGATGTTGAGAATCACGTTCTTCCCCACAATAATCATCAACACGAAAAACACGGCGGTCCATGGTGAGACAGAGGCCATGCAGTTGTAAAGGACAAAGTTCCAATCTTCTAACGTCAGAACCTGCATAAATATCAAAATTAATAAATAAACTAAACGACAGTGGAAAAAATGGCAAAAAAAAAAAAAAAGTTATTCTGACCTGGAACACTGTGACCATAGCCCAAACGAGGTCGTCAAAGTTTTTCCGCGCGTCAATCTTGTCGAAGCTTTTGCTTCCGGAATCACGTATGTCTCCCTTAATTAGGCAGCCGAACATGTGCATTCCCACGACGCTGCAGGGACAAACCGGACAGAAGTGAAAGTTGCTCATCTGTCCTCTGCTAGACTTGGGATTCGGTGTGAGAATGTACCTGAAGAGGAAGATAATGAAGAACAGCAGCCAGCAGAGCATGGCTGCCTCCTCAATGGTCCTCTTCAGCACCATCAGTTGTCTGTACAGGTAGGGGAGGAAATGCACAAGCCTCCCGAACCGCAGGGCTCGAAATGCACGCATGACCGACAGCCTGCTGTCACTTTCAGCTTGCAATTCCCACAGACTGAAAGGCACAAACAGTTTAGTTTGCTTTACTGTTAATGTCTAATGTAGGGCAAAACAATAAATTAATAACAATACATATTGCGACTGACACATGATCAATATCAATAGATGATATGTTTAACAGAATTTTCAATAGCTTTATCCAGAACAGCGTAGAGTTCTGGGGGCTGTAGGCAGAGGAAAGGATTTAGCTGCTCAACCTCTCATGGCCATCTAAGTAAGACGGGCGGCGTCAACCAACTCACTTTCTCTTTGGTTGCCAAGCAACAACCTGTTGAGTAAGTTGTACAGCAGCAGTTTAAGGTTTTGCCGCCGTACCTCTTAACAAGGCCTGTCGCAATAAATCAATTAATTGCGTCATAAATTAAAACAAACTCAATAATTTTGACATGAATTTTGACCAATAACTATCAATATCGACCAATATGAAATGCTTAAAGACGCGATACGTTTTTCAGGCCAGCTCTATATCTAATGTGTAACTCTGAAACAGAGAACAATTTGAAATTTGAATCCGATACATAGTTGCCACAAGTCTGAACCGAAAGAGATCCACGCCTTAGCAGGCAGGCACATGCATCCGATCTCATATTGCGATATAGTTGACTACTTAGTGAACACAAAGAACATATCCGTCTTAGCTTGGAGATAAAAGCTACATTAACTAAGCTAATTTTACAACTTTGACAGTAAGAACAGCAAATATCGCTGATAATTATTTTAGTATTACGGGGAGGTCGGCAGAGTACTCAAAAATTGCAATCGAGTAACGACTGTACGGTACTTATGTTATTTATAAGTTAGGAATGAGGCAAGAGCTAGTTCTATGCTTGTAGATTGTTATTGTTGTCTCCACAGCAACCGCCTGCCAAAATGGCTGTCAATTACAAAGTTCACGAAAGTGTGATGTCACATGAGAACTACGTATTGACCCTTTGCACGTGAAGTCACGCTCCTCAGATCTCTGCCTGCTCTGCCACGATGGACGTCAAAACAACCCGTGCGCCTCTTCAAAGTCTGTCAAAAAACAGACATCTGCAACCTAATATTGGTATTATTTAGTTGATTTTCCTTTAAAAATGGTCACAGGATGATGCGCAGTCGGCTGCACAAACAGACAAAACTGGTTTGTGTCTAGTCTTTTGTACATTTTTAATGTCGCTCAAGTGTAAGAGGAAATGCTGTTTTTGATACAGTGATAAAAAATAATTTGGTTTGAATTCAGGTAAAGTCAGGAATTTGATCAACAAGTCGGGAGGGAGGACGTATGGGTCGGTTTCTAAGGCTAGGTATTTCCAACTTTTGTAAATGCCCCCCGTCTGTGAATCTCAACCAGGTGTGTTACGTTCACAGGCAAATTAGCCTGACAAAACAACTTGGAAAAACAATTTCAGTTGCTCTGTTCGACACTCCCGTCCCCCACTTCCGACGTCCATCATGGCGCCTCAAACGATTAAGTGACATAGCTGCAAAAGGTCAATACGGTGTCTATTTGAATTTCATTGGATACTGACTCAAACCTATGAGTCAAGGGATATATTCACTTGCGTGAGATCATACCTAATGATAACTATGAGACAGTCAAAGTTGTTGCTCCAGTCCTGAAAGTAGTCTAGCCCCAAGGCCACCAGTTTCAGGATCATCTCCAGGGCAAACAGACCCGTGAAGGCAAAGTTAGAGATCTTTAATACATCCGTCAACATCTCAGGCTGCAGGAAGAAGAGAAACACAGGATTCATGCGCTTTTCCCACAGAAAACGTCAAGCATTTTTCAAGCATTTTCAAGGTACATTTTTAAGCTTTTCCAGCACCATTCTTTATAGATACAAAGCAATGCAAATGAACTAAAAAAAATAAATTTAAATTCACTACAGTGATCCCTCGTTTTTCGCAGGGGTTGCGTTCCGAAAATAACTGGCAATAAGTGAAATCCACAAAGTAGTTACCTTTATTTTTTTACAACTATTACACAGCATAATTAAATACTCTACATTAAAACCAAAGAACTAAAATCTGTTTTCAGGTCAGCAGATGTGCATGTGCCAGTGTTGTGGTCAAGACCACCTAACCCGAGACCAAGACAAGACCAAGACTTTTAGGGTCCG